ATGCCAGTTCCTCCCTCGCGATTTCGTGTAAACTAGTAGCAGGTGGCGTCGTTCGGATATCAAGGGGGCGAGGTGAAGCCTGTGCATGAAGTTCCTCGCGGATGATAGAGCGGATCAATGCACGCAGCTCTGTTGTGTCATGACTTGAGCTGAGATCAGGCATATCAGGTTGCACCCGAGTGGTTTGAAGCTCCTCGAGGCGCTGACAGGTAGCTACAACATCGGCTACGGTCTGGGGATTCTGCACCACAAGCGCATTAAAAGTGACAGGCCCAATGCCTTTTAGAAGGTGGCGCACACGGTTGTTTTCCGCCATATGGTTGTCGATGCAGCGGCAAAGGGCGAGAACATCTTCAATGTAAGAAGTGTAAGACTCGCCGGGGCGTTGAACACGTGCACCAAGCCTTTTCTTGGCGATATCCGAGCGCACCGACGGGTTGGCGAAAATCTGGCAGAGCTGGCGCGTAAAGGCGGGCCATGTCAAAAAATCTGTAGTGTGGTTTAAAAACCACGTTTTTGCGACGCCGCTCAAGTAGAATGCAACGTGGGTGAGTTTGGCAGGCTCATCCCAGTTGTTGATGACACTCACGCGGTCATACTCCTCGAGCCAGTCTTCCACGTCCTCACCCGGAAGCCCTGCGAACAGCAGAGGATCTTTTTGAGGGCTGGTGACCAGGTGAGAAGGGTTTCTTGGCGGCGGGAGCGGTGGCGCAGCTGCTGCGCTGGGCTGATCGGCTTGCGACATTACCGAACCCAGGTCGTTTAAGCGGCGGCCTGAACGGAGCTCCAGGGATGTGTTCTAGAAGATGCTGGGGTTGTCCGAGAACGCGAGAGGACGCAGGAATCGGGCAGCACTCTCCACCACTTGTAAGATGGCGTCCAGTACCCTCAAGACTCTTCTTTATTGTCTCGAGTATGTGCCCCACAACCTAAGCTTGACTAGTTATGATGAGTATGTACAGATGAAAAGATGGGACGCATTAACAATGCTCACAATATATATATATATATATATATATATATATATATATATATATATATATATTGAAACAAGGCATGAGCAAATGTCATTCTTTTTGGTTCAAGGGAAGTAGAAGCAACTTAAATAGTAGCAGAATTTTACTTTCAGTAGAGTGCAAGTGATAATATGTAAAATAAGCGACATTTTAAAGGTTAATATAATTAGAGCATATAAGCCAGTATAACAAGCTTATAAACTTAATAAAAAAAGTAAGACTCAATGTGCAGCTAATAAGCGGTGTGGATTTTTCCTATAAAGGCGTATTCAAGGTATAGTGCTTTTTTGTTGCAGTGAAAACACATTTACAGGGACTTTGTATGCAAACTTGTATGATTTTATTCGTTCACTTTGAATACCTTGAAATTTCTAATGATATTAATTTGAATAGAAGAATTTAAATATATTATTGTTTGAACATTTGCACAAGCCTAGTGGGCATATTTAAAGTTTTGTTGGTTCACTCGTTTTTAGGTGTGTGGTACCATAGAGTTTTATAAATATGCACTAGAGGGTACTCTGGCGCTAGTGTCTATATAAACTGCAATGCATAGTGCTTCAGCGAGCATGGGAATTGTGGGTGTGACATGAATTTGCCTAGTCTTTGTGCTTTACATTCGTTCTGGTCTCGTGTGGCTTGAAGCTGCTTTGTGATGGAACAGTCGGCAAATGTGTGGTAGTTACACTTCACCACCTTAATCTTCTAGGCTTACCACTTCAAATAGAGTCCTAAAGTGAAAAACAGTTTGTTCTTTCCTTCAAACCCAAAACAGAGCAATAAACGAAGCCACAAGTGCATTTCGCCACTTCCAAGCACGAAGAGTAGGCAAATCTGTGTCATACCGATAATTCACATGGTCGCTGAATGATCGCAGTGTCAGTGCCCCCTCTAGTTAATCTTAGGAAACTCGATGTGTGATACTGCTGGATAAAGCAAAGCCCCAGCTATCATAATGTCCCCTTGAGGTCTCTCTTTCTGGCTACTCAAGAAACATGGTAATTGAGCTCTTATGATTATGTCAACCATTGTGAGCACTACTAATTTGCAAACTCACCCCAAATATCTCGCTAACTGCTTCAGCTCATCTGTTATGGCTATATTAGGGTACATGTATTGTTGTGGTAAAATGAAATATATTGGTCACACAGCACCTATAGCAATATGCTAAATTTCTGTACATGGAGGTAAAGTGATATAGTTGATTCTAAATCAGCTGTCTAACTCTTCTTTGGAAGGTGTATATTGAAACATGCACCCTCCTTCAATAAGAATTTTCTTATGACAGTGAACACTTGTATACGTCATACTTTATATTGGTCATATTTGTTTCCTGTGCATGCCTAATGCTTGCTGAGTTGTGGCACTGTTGGTTTCATTCACAAACTGGGGTTGAAGTGAAAGCTAAGCTATTCTGGCAGTGGTCTCTAGCATATACTGGAAGTTACATTAAAATATATAAAGTTATACTTAAAGCTGGGTGTGCCTTGTCATCCCCACTTAATAAGGGAATGATTGCATTGCTCGCCTGTTATGATTGTCACTGAAAACAATCCTAAAAATTTTTTAGACCAGTTAGTGACACGCATGCTCAACTTATGCCTAACATCTTCACAAATTATGCTGTTTGAATAACCTTATTTATGTTTGATTACTGATCAGTTTACAGTGTTGTGGCACTGGAGTTTGTGTACACACTGTGAAATTTCATGTAATAACGAACTTATGTAATGAAACCAATCCTTTTTAATTTTGTACCAAACTTGCATGTTGTGCCAAACACTGCAGGAATAGAGGGTCGTGCTTAATGGGCACAATAAATGATGAGGGATGACTTCACCAGCTCATTACTCACCAGCTCACTGCTAATTCAAGCGTTGTCATGCCAAGCTTTCTTTCTTCTACACTTTCCTGTCTAGGAGTTGTCTTAGGGAGTTTCCGCCTTACACGACCGGCGTTCGGAGACTCCAGCACACCCTGCCAATGAAAGGAGTTCATAGAAAGCCTGCCGGCTGTATGCCATCGGAGAACCTTTGTGAGCCAGCTACCATGCAGAGAGCTCCCGTGACTGTGAACAAAAGCAGGGTATCGAGTGTGCTTCCCGCTGCTATTGCCCGAAGCAGTGCCCAGAAGCTGCAGGAGCTGCAAAGGCAGCACTTAGAGCAGCGGTCCGGAGTGCGACGCCTGCGCGCGGTGTCCCAATTTTCATCGCAGGTCGTCGGTAGGGGTGGCATCACTGAGAGGAACAGGTAAGTGAATAAGTGAACAGTGTAGTGCTCCTGAAAGGTGTACACAGGACGTTAAGCTTCAGCTCTTGTACTGTGTGTTTGGAATGACAGAAATTCCTCTGTGTTTTTGGAATGACAGAATACCTCAGCCCCTAAACTTACTCCATACCCGTAAAAATGTTCTCCGGCGGGATGTCCGTGCTCTCATTCCACCGTGTGTCTGCTCTCTCCCCCCTCACCTTACTAGGGTGGAGGAAGTTGTGCTTAGGAGGCTTCGGGCAGGGGTGGCCCTTAAACCGGCCGTTATATCGTCATGGAAATATTCAGACAGCATACATGTATACACCGATGGTTCCACGAACCACCAGTGTTCGTCAGGGGCAGTAGTTATCCCAGCAAGAGGTGTTGCCATCAGCTTTAGGACTGACCACTCCACGGCATCTACAGCAGCGGAACTAGCTGCTTTGCGCGCTGCACTTTGTGTGGTCAATCGGGAACCACCGCAACAATGGTCGATTTTCAGCGACTCAAGGGCTGCCCTACAATCTGTGCTCTCAGCACTGCGTCGCAGGCCATACGAACAGCTTGTTTTCGAAATTCGATGCCTTCTCCACACTTCACACGAGAAAGGGCATCATGTGACGCCTCAATGGCTGCCAAGTCACTGTGGCATCATAGGGAACGAACATGCCGATACTGCCGCGCGGGCAGCCCTTGAAGGAACACGAGAAAAAGCCATACCACTTTCGAGGACCGATGCTGCCAGTAATCTTCGACGACTTGCGCGTGAAATCACGTTTTCACTATGGCGCCCACCAAGCATCGATACGAATCGTGAACACCACCTGTCCTCTTTGATGGCTCTCCCTACGCCCACTGGACTCGACCGAAGAGAAGCCACCCTTCTTCATCGCTTATGGCTAGGAGTGGCATTTACAAAATCTTATTCCTTTGTCATAGGAATGGCCGACAACGCTCTCTGCGATGCTTGTCATTGCGAAGAGACGCTACACCACATCCTGTGTGACTGTCCGTTGTATGAAATCCAGAGACGGTCACTGGCGTCCGCTTTTGCGCGCATCGACAATAGCCAAATGTCTGTGGACACTATTCTGTCAAGTTCCCGAGAGAAGACATTGCAACAGAAGGCGACGAAAGCTCTGTTGAAATTCCTACGCGACACCGACTTGAACAAGCGGCTATAATAGCAATGTCACACACCGCAAAAGACAAGACTGGACTATGACTGAGTGTGCGCGCGTGTGCTGTCGAATGTGCTGTTTCTCTCTTCCCTCTCTGCTCTCTTTCATCTCCCCCATCCCTCTCCCATGCGCAGGGTAGCAAACCGGCTGCCTATAGGCTGGTTAACCTCCCTGCCTTTCTTTTCCCTCTATTTTCCTTCCTTCCTTCCTTCCTTCTGTACAGGGAGGTAAAGTGATATCGTTGATTCTAAATCAGCTGTCTAACTCTTCTTTGGAAGTTGTATATTGAAACATGCACACTCCTTCAATAAGAATTTTCTTGACAGTGAACACTTGTATACGTCATATTTTATATTGGTCATATTTGTTTCCTGTTCACGCCTTATCCTTGCTGAGTTGTGGCGCTGTTGGTTACATTCGCAAACTGGGGTTGAGGTGCTTAATGGGCACAATAAATGATGAGGGATGACTTCACCAGCTCATTACTCACCAGCTCAATGCTAATTCAAGCGTCGTCATGCCAAGCTTTCTTTCTTCTACACTTTCCTGTCTAGGAGCTGTCTTAGGGAGTTTCCGCCTTACACGACCGGCGTTCGGAGACTCCAGCACACCCTGCCAATGAAGGGAGTTCATAGAAAGCCTGCCGCCTGTATGCCATCGGAGAACCTTCGTGAGCCAGCTACCACGCAGAGAGCTCCCGTGACTGTGAACAAAAGCAGGGTATCGAGTGTGCTTCCCGCTGCTATTGCCCGAAGCAGTGCCCAGAAGCTGCAGGAGCTGCAAAGGCAGCACTTCGAGCAGCAGTCCGGAGTGCGACGCCTGCGCGCGATGTCCCAATTTTCGTCGCAGGTCGTCGGTAGGGGTGGTGTCACTGAGAGGAACAGGTAAGGGAATAAGTGAACAGTGTAGTGCTCCTGAAAGGTGTACACTGGACGTTAAGCTTCAGCTCTTGTATTGTGTGTTTGGAATGACAGAAATTCCTCTGTGTTTTTGGAATGACAGAATACCTCAGCCCCTAAACTTACTCCATACCCGTAAAAATGTTCTCCGGCAAGATGCCCGTGCTCTCATTCCGTGTGTCTGCTCTCTCCCCCCTCACCTTACTAGGGTGGAGGAAGTTGTGCTTAGGAGGCTTCGGGCAGGGGTGGCCCTTAAACCGGCCGTTATATTGTCATGGAACTGGTCACATTTACGAGTTGCTGATACGTGTCCGTATCGTCCCACTCCTGGGATGCAAGCAGATACATACCACCTTTTATGGACATGTAAGGGGTTGCAGCCAGAACGCTCCCGTCACCTCTTTCAAGCCGGCCTTCGCTACAGCGACACAGCCAGTTACAACCGCTGGATACATGAAAACAGATTCCACTAGACACTACTTCACTTCATACACAACACCGGCCTAACAGCACACATTTAACAAAAATATTACGCCTTAAAGGCAAGTCTTCGTCGCAATAAAAAAAAATAAATATATATATCTACAGTTATGAGTTGTTAGATACCGCAGCCACGGTGGGTCTTCCATCTCTTTTCTTCCATCTCCTTTTTTGTTGTTGTTGTTGTAAAATCCTACTCAAATAATGTATTACAAGCTTGCCCAAAATGCTGCCCCTTATATAACTTGTATAGCAGAGAATAAAGCTTATGGTATGAGGGAATTAATTAGCCTCTGTTTCCTGTTACTGTCTTCTTATGATGGCATGAGAAATCATCACCTCGATTTCAAAGCGTCTATGCAGGACCTTTATTGCTGCTTTGCTGTTGTCCAGCATTCAAAGCACCTGGTTTGCGTGAAAGCCAGTTTGTGTGTCCTAAATGTGAAACAGTGTTTAAGTGTGGCTTCTTGCTGTCTACTTACTTTCCATGTGGCAGCTTGCTGATCAATCTATATTCATTTGTTTAAAGCTGTATGACAGTTCGAAATTCTTCTTGCAGAGCCTGCCCATCATAACTGCTATTACGTGTAATACAACAAACAAATGCAATTGCACTAAAAAGCAGTTCAGCGATGGAAAAACAGCATGCAGTAGTATTGACTACTACTGTGCACGAATGTAGAGGAAGTTCATTTAAACCTAAATTTGTAAGATGATCTGGCTATAAAGCTCTGACAGAAAATACGCAAAAAAAAAACATTATTGTATAAGTATGCCTATCTTTGTAGTGCCAATCGCAGATAAACATTTACTGTTAAAGTAAATTATTAAAAATGCCAAAATGGAGAAATAGAAAAAATTTCACTAGGCATTAGGTTGGCCTATAACCTTAATTTCTCCACTCAAATGTATTGTTGTACATAGGTACACAGCTGAGTTTCAATTGCTTTTTATTCTCTGGTAAGTATTATTTCATGGAACCTTCTTTGTTTGAATGAAGTTTGGAAAGAAAAATGAAAAGAGCACTGAACAGTTTTTATTTTCTTTAGTTCAAACAAAGATACCTGAAGATCTATACAAAGTACTACACGCATTCCATGAACAGACAATAATCTGCTCTTTTATCCTTATGATATGATAATTAAAATAACTTTTTTTGGGGGGGGGGGGGGGTCGTACTGATACAGACAAGCCAGTGGTTGTGTTTGGAGATGTATTTGCTACTGTCGCTGGTAGCAGTGCTACATACTATTTCATACTTTGCTGCAGTTAACAATGTGTTTGTGTCTTTGTTGGCTTTCTTCACCAGAGACAGAGATCCAGTCAGAGTTGCTGGTCAGGCGCCTCTGCATTTTGAAGAAGAAGCCTCACAGAACAGCACTCAGAGCGAAGAGGAAGACAGCACAATTCACGACAGCGTCTCACGTCTGGCCCAAAGTCCTCCAGTCCCAGCACTCCGTGATAAGATTCTGCTGCCATCACCACAGCGCTCTGAGAAAACCAATGTCTCAAACTCGTCGAACGTTTCCTCGGAAGTTCCGGCGGTCACTCCCAGTAAAGCTTCAGCCACCCAGGGAAAAGTTCCGGAAACACCTCCGGCCTCGCGCAAGCGCTGGCGGAGACAGGAGGTGTACGTGCCAGCAGCAGCCGTTTGGGGCAACACGGTCACCGAAACTGAGCTCTACGCCGAACCGCAGCAGACTGAGGAACACTCCCACCCGGGACTTCCAACTCAAGGAATTGTGGAGCGACAGAGATCTGTAAGTGTCAGCGGTGCAAGACGCAACCAGTCGCCGTCACCAGACCGACGAGCTCAGCGCTCTTCTTCTCAGGTAAGGCTCTTCGTGAGATCTGTGCATAGCGTATGGCTAAATCCAAGGAGGTTTTAAAAGAATTAAGTCTTATGAGTGAGGCCGTACCCAAATCAAGGTGTTGGCTGCAGAATGTAGAGGCAGAATGAAATGTGGGCACTCGGCAAAAGAAAGGAAAGGTTTTTTTCCCGTGGCCATCGAGTTTTATGCGGCAAATATTTCCGCGAAGGTACTGCTCAATGCTTGTCAATGCGTTACTGGTTTCTACTGTAAACCTCAAAGTCATGGCAAATTTTATTGGAGATTAAGTTATCAATACTTATGTCACTATGTTAATTTTCTCAGGAACAGCGAATCTATAAAGAGCATGCTTTTCAGATAAAGTGCCGCTAAGGTGCTGACAGCTTCTACTCCAATTTTTTTTTTTTTTAAAAACTTTCTTGGCTAATTCTCAATATATAACAAGAAGTCACATTGGACACAAAAACAACTTCACTATTTCTAATATTTGTGATAAGTGTGACATTTTTTATAGTGAAAAACCAGGGAGGCAAGCTATTGTTTGTTTAATTATAACCAATAACATATTCATGACTGTTGTGTTTAGGTTTGAATTAAATGTACGGGCAATTTATGGCAATCTGGACATGTGCTTCATTTCCTACAATGACCATCTCTCTGCAGCAGAGGCTGAGTGGCTAACAAAAATGATCAGGCAGATTTAGATATAAGAATTAGTTAGATATTAATTAAGAAGGCAGGAGAGGCTCTGGCCCTGGCCATATAGTCGAATTATGGCAACTGATTGCCTCTGCGACTGAATAGTCCTGCTTATGATTTCGACCACAGACTCCGTTTTCACAGCCTCCCACTCTCCCACTCATAATGTCAGTCTACAGTGTGTGCCCATTTGTGCAAGCTCATATTCATCTCATATTCATCCTCTATGAGTAGGAAATGGACGTTTTTCCTAAGTTTGTGCTGAATCGTGGAAGTGTTTGACGTATTGCCTGATAAACCTTGACCTTGGTTCAAGAGTACCCCTGCATTGAAGGCTTGCATGTCGTTTCCTTCTGGTTGGAACACAAAGCTTTTTCTACACTGTTTTACCCCCAGTGCAACTGTTTTGAGAGTGCCCTAGATTTTCATTATCTTGTTGAGATTGCCGCCTAATGCGGGGTTGAGTGTTTCGGGCAGTAATTCAAGTAGCTTGATACTGCAACGTGCAAAACTGGCTTCACCGCAGTACAAGGTCGTGTGTGGCGGTGCATTCTTTACAGGGAAAAAAAGTTGAGAGGTGTAGTTGACATTGTGTAAATGACAAAATATTCGGGTTGATTTTGGAATTATCAAAATGTTGCAAAGCTTCAGTTGTCAGTTTAATGTAATAAGCCACGTCTAAAAATAGTTTCCACAACGTCGCCAGGCGTTTGAGCTGTTTGTAGTGCAGGTAAAGCCTTGTTTTCAACATTGGTTGCCATCATCTCGAGAGAGATGTCGCTGGGGGGGGGGGGGGGGGGGCGCGAGTCAGACACTAGTTTAATAGTTTTATCGGGCTCATTATTTAGTCATAGTTTACAAAGCACGCCAAAGAACATCAGGCTTGGATAATGAGATGGTCACCAGGCTTATAGTCTTCATTTTTTAGCCATGTTGACACTTTCTTATTTGTTTTTCGTGTTTTTTTGCTGTCGTTTATGGCAGGGGACAAATGATTCACCAAATTTGAATGTTTTATGTTTTTTTATTCGACAGTTATTTTCTATAGTGACGGTGCAGGATGCAGAAAAATCAAATTTGCATAAATGTTTGAACTGCTTTTTCTTTTTTCAAATCGCTGATGCTACTTGTGAAAGTAAAAGCACTGAGACATCACTGCTAGTTACCATAAGCTTCGGCAAGTATTCTTTGCTATGTTGACACTTGAAATTTCTGGGGAACATTTTCGAAAGGTGAAATTAGGTGGAAAGTCTCATATGTTGAATTATTTAGTCCAGTATGAAGCAACTTTGCATTTATTTCTTGGAGAAAAACACTCTGCCTTTTTGTGCTTGAGAGGCATCGCATGCTCTTATTGATCTTTGGTTAATACACCTAATATAAATGATCAAAAAGGTAATGCTGTTCTGAGCCTGTGAAGTGTACTCGACATTGTGAACAGTTACTTCACCAATTGGTAATTTAGCTGTGTAACGATGTACAGAGAAAGAGTTTTTCCAATACATTTCGAAATTTTGTCAAGATTGTGCGAGCTAAAATACCTCTAAGGCCGGATGTTTCTATGTCACAATGTTGAACGATTTGCTTCAACAGTGCATTCTGTACATAGCAAATCTAGACTTGCAAAGCAAGACTCTCTTACATTTAAACGGCATTATAGACTCTGTGTTATATGCAGGATGAGTGCAGAAGGGTGGGGCAAACAAAGAGTCAGTGATGCACGGGGAAGATATAGCATTTCTATTTTTTTTCTAAATGAGGCAAGTCCATGTTTAATAAAACTGAGAAAAACGCAGCTGTTTGCTACTGACCAAATGGTCAGGCCCGCTTTTGTAACTTTTTGCCAGTGTACTTCTCTCACTGAAATACTGCAGACCTATATTGTAGCTATTACCCACTATTTTTGCTATTTAGGATTAAATATTTCATTTGGCTCTTTAGATTGAAATACTTCTGGGCTTGTATTGGTTATGCAACAGTAGTTCATGTGGTGGTAAATAAATGATATGGTAGTATTTTACGACGAAATAAACACTGCATTGTGCTTTTGTTGGTGCCGTCTTTTGTTTCGTTATTATAATGGTGATGACTAGAGAGAGAAATAGAGAGGAAAGGCAAGTAGGGAGGTAGGGAAAAATGGGTGGGCCTTCCTGGAAACAGGCGCATCGCCCTGGTTTGTCGGCAGCATTTTTTTGTTCTTGGCATTTTCTGAAGGCCTCCGAAAAAATGCTTCAGCTCTTTATCTTCATAGGTGTCCTAAGGGCCGCTACTTTTTCTTCCAGGCATAGGTCGATGCCCAATAACTTTGGTCCCGTTGTTTTCCATTTCAAGTATACCATCTCAGAGCGAAGGAAGGATATAGTACTGTATCACAAAACTCGGAAAGAAACACTGACAGACTGGCAGGAGTAGGAAAATTGGAATCTGACTCTTTCAATTCTACTTTTTCTCTGCAATATTACATCCTTTGTTAAGTGTTAAGTCAACCAAGAGTTGTGGAGTGAAAGCCCAATTACGAAGCAACTAGGTCACAAATGAAAGAGAATGGAGGCGGCATTGTTCGTTGTTGTTTTGGTCAGGTTTGTTATTGCAGTGTTGGTTTTATGGATTTGGCTTAGTTTTATTCAAACTCTTGCAGGATTTGGCTCATTTTTAATTGGAAAATGCTTTTTTTCAAGTCTATGTTATCATCGGAAATTGCCCTATTTTTATTGCAAATATTTTAAATGAGAATGGTAGTTAAAAGGACACTAAAGGCAACTATTAAGTCGACGTTGATTGTTGAAATAACGGTCCAGAAACCTCGTAGTGTTACTTTTGTGCCAAGGAAGAGCCTGTTTTGAAATAAAATTGTTTTAGTGGTCCGCATTGGGTTAGTGCACTTCAAATTACTCGCATAAGAAGCAGACTGACTCGTGTCACTGTTGCCGTGCACAACGCTGCCCGCCTTTACCGCTTTATTAGCAGCAGACCGAAAGCAGTGAAAGCCACAGCAGCAACAGCCATTGATCAATTTCCCGCCATTGGCTCCGAGATTGCAGACATTTTTGGTTCGACTGCGCTCCACTAGATGGCACCACCTGTCTTGTGTAGCTACACAAAAATTGAACTTTTGAACCACTCACTCCATTCCCCATAGTGACATCTGGTGGTTCTTTTTTTCCACGAATCAAACGAAAACAAACAAGCAGCATTTTATTGCAGTCTCTTGATGCAAGGAAGGTTCTTTATTCAGTGCAGCTAGATTGATTACTAGTGATTAATTGTAGGCTGGTCCGTCTGATGTCATCAAAATAGTTTTCAGAATGTCCTACTTGCGGTGCATGTGTTCTTGTGCATTTACCTTAATTTCTCGGTAAGTAGGGCACTGTTGTTGATAATATTGTCGTTTTAGATGTTGTCATACATTGAGATTTCACTGACGTAAAATTTTATTTGACTTAAGTATCCCTCTAAGGGTGCCTCATGTTTCTATGAAACTTAGTCAGTTTCGGTTTCTGGATTTGGCTGTTTTATGAAAGAACATCATCATAGATATGGACGAGGCTCAGTGCCACGTGTAATCTACTGTTTCTTTGATTTTGTTTCTGTGCTATACTTGTAGAAGATGCATAATAACTTAAATCCATATCTTTGCAATTCTTAACATTACAGGATCCATTAGTTCATCCTGAATTGGTGACCAGCTGCCCAACACGGCGACAGGACAAGATCCTGCAGCAGCTATTTACACTCAGACAGGTAAGCCCTGTAATGATCTCCCATTGGCTGCGCTAAACGTAGACACCTTGCAATCTAATATTGTTTTCTTATCCAATTCTCGTGTTCAGGGACCTGAACCAGGATCAAGGAGAATATAAAGTATCTTGTACTCGGTGCATTACTAAAGGTTTCTCGCTAAAACAACAAACAAAATGTTTTGTCTCGCTTTACTGCTGTTTTTACTCTAGTTCCTTATGTTTAGGGATCGCACATCAAGTCGTCTTATGGTGACTATCAACATTAGTTTGATCATAATGCAATTAGCATTCAGGCAATGTAGTGGCAGGTTGTATTACTAAAAACATCGTTATTTACAATCTATATAGGACAGATGGACTAGGTGGTGCCACCACAAGTTTCAGAGTCTAAATGTTAAGTGCTACGAAGAAGGGTATTGATTGTGGCTTTTCAAAGACGTCTAGGTTTCTTCCCCTCTCTCTTACAGTGTTGCTGGATATTTGACTGTGTCAAATATACTCATATCAGTAAATATGGATATCAGTAAATTTGACTTTGGACAAACTGAAATTACATTTTGCATTCAAGGGAATTAATATTACTAAATTAATTTGTCGTGTTTACTGTATGAGGTACCAGCTACTACTTCACCTTTACTGTCATTCTCAGGGACTGCTTATCAAGCAACGGGAGATGGAAAGCCACTTGGTAAAAGTGAATCAATGATCGGTCCCGGGATGCTCATCGGCCTTCATCTTCGTAGCAGTGTTGTTGTAGGTTTGCATTCGTTGTAGCAGCATGCTTTTCATTCTGGCTTGTTTTTTCATGGGTGCAAGCATGCATTGCAGCCTAGTACAAACTTTCGATGTTCTGCTGTGAAAGCGTGTAGACGATAGCGCTTTTAACAGAAATGGGTACCACTGCCTTAACCTTACCTGATATGGTTCTACTGCTTTTATCCTAGGACTGTCCCGTTAAACCTGAGCAAAGTGTAGCAACTGCATTGTCGATGTCGAAGAATTTCCTTTTAATGCCATCATGAAGAACTAACTTTCATTATGTCGCATTGTTTTTCTCTACATGACCTTTCATGTAGTGCTTGTTACATTGCATGTCTATTGCTACTTCACTCTTGTTTTAGATAAGGTGGCCTCCTTGTGTTCAGTGTTTTTGGGGCTCTCATTGTTTATCACCTCCTAGTTATTGTACGAGTTAGGTATTTATTGACCTTTGATCACGTGTAAAGTTTTTTTGTTACGTGAAACATTTATGTCCTTGTACATATGCATCTTTGCAAGCAGGTATACCTTCGACATCACAGTTTTACATTGATTGCTAGCGTGAATCCTTAGCCTAAAGCCTCGCGGTCTGTCTAACATGAAGTGACATAATATATAATAATGTTCTTCCATCAAAAAATGCCTTGTTCTGATCCCTAAAACATTGTATGTCACACTTTTTATAATTTGAAGTGATACATCCAATTCCTTCACGTCTCAAGTTTTCTTTTTATGCCAAAGACAACCATATAATTTTATAATTACCTTAGTTTCTCACTTAATTGTGGGATTTGTATATCTGTGTGCAATCACGTTAACCAGGGCAAATAGCGCCTGTGTGTCAGTAGTAGTTAATAATAGAAAATTAGTAGCTATCTCATGTCAAGCAGAGGACCTGTGCCTGTTAATTTCGCTTCTGATAAATTGACTCAGGTTAAGTGTGCCATCTATCTTTTTGTGTGTGCGCTTTATATGCCTACCTCTCCTTATAACCATTTGTGTGAATGTGTTTAGTAGTAGGATTGCGGCATATGATACGATAGCTTGGGAATGCCAACATTCTGTAAATAAAAGGCATGGACTAATTTATGTTGTGTCGTGATTGTCTGTCAGCCTGTGAATATTGTCACGACTCATGGGGTCGTGACGTCGGTGAAAGAGGAGATTGTAGGTACAAGATGAAAGTGTTTATTTGGCTGAGCTTGTGGCCTGTAAACTGAACATCAGATTACAGCGATACCCACTGGCACTGATAAGGGCAATCAGAGCTCTCGGCCGTCGATCAAATGACAAGCTGTGAAGCGTGTCGGCATTTATACGGCATTTATAGAATATTCTAGCATTATCGCTAGTGGCAATAAAGGTTCCAGGATAATCTGTAATGTTCGCGAAGGGGGGGTAGTCTTAAATAAACAATCTACTACAGTCCCGAAGCTTCTCAAACATTGCAGGCGCGGTTTGTGCTGAGAATTACTGACAGTGTAACGGGGCAGTAACAAAACCAGAGGTGCAACAGCTGCACCAATTGCGCCAATTCGATACAATTCCTGATTTCTGCACCAATACCGTGAAATTTGCTGAAATTGTCCCACGCTGTGCCAAAATTCCCAGCCAGCCCCAGAAATTTTTTCAGATGCGCTAATTTCAGTGAGAAATGCAGGCAACGTCGGCTGCCATCAGTCAAAGCAGGCAGACCAGTACTAAAGTGCCTAGAATATACTTAAAATGGAAAGCATTTCTTGCCAGCGCGGTTGGAATTTCAGTTTGCGCTTACTAGCTGAGGGAAAGCTGCAGTTAGCGCCTCGTTCTCTTGTCATTAGCATACGTCGTCTAGTCTCGTTGACTTCAACTCCTGGTGTCTTGGCCCGTTAAACACGTCAAGACCATTGTCGTTGTCAGGAATCGCGGCTTCCGTGCATCCATCGTGCTCCAATCGGTTTTTCCGGAGTTCTTTTGGCACATGAGTCGTATTCAGGCACTGCAGAACTACGGCTAGGAACCATTTTGTCGGCTTCTGTAGCTCTTTTGCCAGTTGTCGTTGTGCACTGAAAGCAGCATCGCCATTTGAAAAATAATCATCAAGTGTTACTTTATGGGGTTTATACGGTCATTGACTCTCATAGCAGGGCACTGATTGACACAGAACACGAACTGCCCTAGCAATACATGTAGACAGCATATTTCAAGTAGGTGACTTCTCATTGTGGGAAGCGATGCGCTAATCGGAAGTTTCGGGCAGTCACACTGAATGCAAGAAATGAGAACTTCAGCGATGATACATGTCGGCTGGTGAAGTTCTGCTTTAAACACAAGTGCTTGTTTCTCCCCTGGCGGAAAGATTCCGGTATAAATTTCCCCCGCTTCCCTTCAGGCGCCGGTAAGGTCACGCTTGACCAGTATCTTACTCTGCACGTGAAACGTCTCGCGTTTGTGATGGCACCCCTATGGAAGGCTGGTAGTTTCCATTTCGCTGTGATCCCATACCAAAAACATGAATGAACGCGAAGAAATTGATGTCAGCAGTAAAATTTCAGCGACTCTCATCAGAATGCCCGAAACAGACAACCGACAGGCATGGATGGTGCAAAGTACGCAGTGTAAGTAAACTCTTGTTCCATGCGTTGGCAGTTCTCGTCGGAGTTCATGCATTAAGAGAAATCGATAATGGTGCACTATGCTCTGAACAAGACTGGATGGAGTTCATTCTTTCATCACTAGTGAACCGATCACTCGAGACTTTGTGTGGTATGAGGCTGCTCCTGTTCGCACTGGCGTAAGTGCTCCAAACATACACGTACTATATAATTAGAACATTGTATACATGGCATGTATCTATGCTGCGTGGTGAAATATTCTGTACAGTTCTGAATCAGTTGACATAAGAGGAAACGACGTCTGCCCGCTGGCAAACAATGAAAAACGCCATGCCGCAACACTATCGTTTCTGGGAGCAGAGGGACAAAAGTTACGAGAAAAAAAAAAGGAAACGTGTTTTTGTGCACATTTGTTTTGTAGCGCATATACGCAGCGAACAAGCTATTTCTATATGAGGAGGCATATTCTGGTTCCAGGTTCTATTGAGCCCAAGTAAACATTTCTAAACGTTCAAATGAATGCACTTACCTAGCAGTAGTTCAGATACTTTAGAGCTCTACAATTAAATCATGTAGTAATTTAGCTGCTGGTGTTTGTCATACACGGGCGTAAAAACTTTTGCAGCACTTGTTCAGATTCTCTTCATTTACTTTTGAGCTAAAATGTTTTTTTTTTTTCTTAGACGGCCGAAATTTCCTCTATAGCTTTAACCCGTTATACTTGTGATACAAGTCGGGGTACTTCCATGTACTCTTTCTTTTTTTGGCCCCACAATAGAATAAATCTGTAGCTGTACCTTTCTGGAAGATGGCAAGCTTCTAAACTGCTAATCTGTCAGCATGCCGGTGCATGGATAAGTGACACCTTTGCCGTGCATGTTCTATACCCAGAACTGCAGCGCCAGGCATGAGCAGTGGCGTAGCAACGCTTTCGCAAGGGGGGGGGGGGGGGGGCAAACCTACTTCACTCGTCTGCCGGGATATATATATATATATATATATATATATATATATATATATATATAAATAGAAAAAAGTCTTGTGAGTCAGGCTTTGAGGTTATCTGCAGGAGGTTTCCCAGAGTCGGTACAGGTGTCGGTTGTTCAGGGTGTGCTTAAAAGATGCCACTTGGACAGTCGCTCTCGGGAAGCTGCCATCCTACAGGCCGAAAGTAAGAACAGAGTGGCGGTAGTGCCTTATCTGCACAAAAATTCTCATAATCTGAAGAAAATAGCTAGTCGAGTGGGCATCAAAGTATATATAGTGTTCTCAGCACCACAACAGCTTTGCAGGATAAGTCGCTTGATGGTCCCGCACCGCAGGCCAGCTGTTGGGTGCTCCAAGAACCATCGCGAACAGTTTCTGGATTGTTTACAAGGGGTGGTTTACGGGCTTCCGCTGATATGCGGTAATATATGTATAGGCCAGACGGGTAGATGCCTTAACGATCGTCTTCGCGAACACAAGTCTAATGTTAAAAACAAGTACAATTGTGGCCATTAGTCAGTACATTGCATGAAATGCGGCTGCACTCCTATGCACGAATCCTGCAGTGTACTGGCGAGCCATAAAGATAAAGACGTCCGAGAGAGAATTGAAATCAATGCTATCTTTCGCAAAGGTGACACATGTGTAAGTGCACCGTCAGTTGACCTTTTAGATCAAGAAAGTTCTTTTCTGCTTGGCTAGTGGATAGACTGGTGGCGCTACTGTGCACGGATATATACGTTGGCGTTTCCTGAAAATAAAAAAAATTGTTGAAGTTAGCGCACTGTGTTGTCCTCTCTCTGATGTCCCTGTCTCTTAACGCTCAATACGTCGTCAAGTTCCGTTTACAAACACGCCCCAAAAATGGCATATTGCTACGTTCCTGAAGCGTCAATTTAAAATGCAGCGATGGCTATCCAAATTTATAAACGTTACATATGCACTACGATCGAGCCGTTGCGTCGGGTTAATGTCAACTGTAAAGCTTAAGGCACTGAACGTGATCGACAGTTTATATCAACCAAGGAGCGGCACCAATAGGCATGGGTAATTTTAATTCAAGAGTGTTAAGAAAAATAGGTGCATTTCTACGAAGTGAATGACCTTGAGTGGGCAAGGCTATGTGTCCTAATGCCATGACACGGTGTAAAAATTTTATCTTAAACCATTGTCCATAATGTCCACGTTGAAGTCTGAAGTCACCGAGAAGGGCGGGCAGATCGACGGACGGACAGATGGATGGACGTTGCATGGATGGACAGACGGATGACGCCAGTCATCGTGCATTGTGCTGTCGTATAATAAAGCCGGTTGTTTACACATACGCTTTTGTTTTGCATGTTGCCAGTTCCTGTTTGGGTGTTGTGGGGCGTGATGAACACCACCTATAGGCTGTCCCTACAGAGCTTTGTCTCGCTGGCTTCGACAGCGTTGACCCATCGAACGCATAGTATAAGTATCATGGTCCCAGGAGGAATCAAACCTCGGCATTCTGCGTGGCAGGGACCACAGAGTCATGCCAGGTCTCTCAACTGCTTTACAAGTAGACCGTGATGTTCACTAGACGTCAGTTGTGGTTGCAGTGTTAGCTATCCAAAATTCGCTTCTGAGATATAATTGCGCCGCTCTGAAGCCGCGCCCGCTGTCATGGTACCGGCGCCTTTTTTTCGGAGGCGAGTTTATTCTGCCTTCAAATCTGTATACAGAGACGGCTCTGATCAAGTGTGACGCTCGTTAAATGTTGATAACATATTTTATTTTTATATTAAAGTCAATTATCTCGCGGCGCATATACCGACAGGTATACACTAACTTGATGTCAGGTTAACGCCTCCTCTTGGTCAGCAGCGCACACAAGACAACGATGAAGACAAGAACACAGACAGGCGCCGACTCGCAACTAAAATTTATTTTGAAAACAGCTTATATATAGGTGAAGTGCAACTTAACAGAAAAAAAAGACAGCTACACACGCAAACACGCCGCAAGCAAGAGAAAAAAAAATGATAAATATAGATAAATTCTGCATCGCTCAGCGCATGCTGACACTCTTATCGTTTTTCCTTCGGATGTGGAAGACTTCAATCACTTTACTTGCTAACTGATTTTTATGATGCGACAGTATCATTGTGTCGTTGAAGAAGGGTACGCAGCCGCTTTCGTGACAATGTGCGGCGAGAAAGTATGGTTTTGACTCTGATAATGAGCGTTCGTGTTCCCGAAGGCGAGCGTTGATGCATCTTCCGCTTTGACCAACGTAAGTTTTACCGCATGATAAGGGAAATTGATATACAATGGCAAGTTTAGTTCATTCCACAGTGGCCAGGAAAACTTTCATTGTTTTTGCTCTGCTTAGCAACGCTTTTTTTGCACTTTTGCGCGCATGGACACACGCTTGCCAGGAGACGAAAAAACGACGTCAACACCATATCGTTTGGCCACGTTTTTCAGACTGTGTGCTACTCGGTGAGTGTACAGTATGACCGTGTACCTTTTTTCCTCTGACATTCCTCTGATCGCTGCCAGCCCGTGTTTTAATTGTTTTAATAAGACATTTGCGCAACCTACCACACGTTTGGGCATTGACGTGTTCCGGATAACCCGCTTGCTTAAGTCTAACAACTTGTTCGTTAAGGCTTATTTGCAACCTATCCTGCCAAGACTTTTGCATTACAGAACGCACGAGTTGTTAGACCTAAGCGAGCAGGTTGTCCGGAAGTTCCGAACAAACTGGTAAGGCACTTCTTTTCTGTTGTGGAATAGTTGGTCTCGGCCTTGCATAGTGACCGGCTAGCGTAACTGATGATCCTTTCCAGGCCGTCGGTCTTTTGCACAAGGACGGCGCCGAGTACCACGCTGCTTGCGTCGGTGTGTACTTCTGTTTCGGCGTGTTCGTCAAAATGCGCAAGTAGTGGCGGTGTCTGCAGGCGTCATTTAAGTTTCTGAGATGCCCCCTCTTGTGCCGTGTTCCACCTGAATTCGACGTCGGTTTTGATGAGGTGAGTCAGCGGCTCGGTGATCTGTGAAAATTCCTGCACGAAACGCCTGTAATGGGCACACAATGCGAGGGATCGGCGTACTCCCTTTCTTGTCGGTGGGTGGCGGGAAATCGACGATGGCGGCTGATTCCGCAGGTCGGCATGGCTTCAGTCACGTGTCCCAAGAACGCGAGAGCTCGTTGTACGCTGAGCGGCTCTTTTCGGGCTTCAGGGTGAGTCCGGAGGTCTTGATAGCTTGAAGCAGTGCTTCAAGGCGCTTGAGATGCTCGTCGAAGCTCGTGGAAAACACGACGACGTCGTTCAAGTGCACGAGCTAAGTCTGCTACTTCAATCCTGCGAGAACAGTGTTCATAACATGCTGGAACGTTGCAAGGCACCGAGCAAAGACCAAATGACATGACCTTGTACTCGAAGCTAGAGGCCATCTGGTGTGATAATGGCAGTCTTCTCTCGATCATTCCACGTTTCAGGCTGCGAACATTTCAGTGCTTAGAAACTGTGTTTAGGGCTGAGGCCTCTTGAAGGTGACTTCAGTGTTCCCTTTCATATTGCTTACGATTGTACTTAGATTTGGGAGCCTGTAAAGAGCCCCAAGGGGCCAAAATAATCACGATTTTCCCTCTCTGGCATACCTAATGAGCTTATCATAGCTGCGGCATGCAAAGCTTAGAGAATTCACTTAGAATGTCCAATAATGAGAGAGAGCACTGTTTAATTTGGAGCGTTACATTTCTCCTTTGCTGTGGATAATGGTGGTCGCTAGCTTATTTCCAACATCTTCATATCTTTGGTAATTTTACACTACTATATTTTGGTAAATTGTTCTTTCTTTGTTCACTGGAGAAAATAGATTCATTTAGAAGTCGCATCCCAGCATACATACCATCACATCTGCTGACCGTGCCTGATAGCTTTCACCAAGATCCATACTAAAGCATTCTTTATTCCTGAAGGTTTGAACATTTGAAGTCCTGAGCTTGCTTGTGAAGTCAGGTCAACGCATTACAAAATGTAATCGGCTAAAAAAGCATACAGTGTAGGAGTATTACAAAATTAATAAACGTGACGAGTACCTATAGTGTCTATAACGCAAGACCCGCAAGTGGACCAGGTCTGTCTTTGTCGTGATGCATCTGCAGCCTGACTACACCCACTGCTGGGCAATGGCCTCTCCCATGATCCTCAAATCAACCTGGTCTTGTGATTTCTGCTGCTACGTTATACCTGCGAACTTTTTAATCTCATCAGCCCACCTAACTTTGTCTTCCATTCGTGCGTTTGCCTTCTCTGGGAATCTATAGTCAGTTACCCTCAATGACCAGCGGTTATCCTGTCTACGCGCTACATGCCTGGACCATGTCCATTTCCTCTTCTTGATTCCGACAATGATATCCTTAACCCCCGTTTGTTCCCTAATCCACCCTGCTCTTTTCTTGTCTCTTAAAATTACACCTACCATTTTTCTTTCCATTGCTCGCTGCGTCGTCCTCAATTTAAGCTGAACCCTCTTTGTAAGTCTCCAGGTTTCTGCTCCGTAGCTAAGTACCGGCAAGATACAGCTGTTATATATCTTTATCTTGGGGGATAGTGGCAATATACCTGTCATAAATTGAGAGTGCTTGCCGAATGTGGCCCACCCCATCCTTATTCATCTGGTCTTTTCTCTCATGTTTTTCTCCGCGGTTACTACCTGTTCCAAGTATACATATTCCTTTACAATTTCCAGCGTCTCAACCCCTATCGCAAAGCGCTCTTTTTTGCCTACACTGTTGCACATTACGGTATAGTTTTGTGCATCTTAATTTTCGGACCTACTTTTCTGCTTTCCGTGTCCAGTTCTGTAATCACGAGCTGCAATTCATCCACTGAGTTACTCATCAAGGCAATGTCATCAGCAAATCACAGGTTACTATAACATACTCTCAACTTTTACCCATAACTCTTCCCAATGTAGGGTCCTGAAAACCTCCTGTAAAGACGCGGTAAATAGCATTGGAGAGAGATTGCCTCCCTTTCTTTATTGAGATTCTGTCGCTTTATTTATGTAGAACGCGACAGAATCCCAATAAAGAAGGGCGTAAGGCTGCCAGACACGAATTACATTTTAGGATGCATACCATTACTTAATGTGCTTAGAGAAAATGATCGTAAACAGTGGTGCAGATAGATGCAACAACACATGAAATTTTTGTTGTCACAGAAGTCTTTTAATCATGCAGAATTTAGGTGAACGGGCGTATTTAAACAAATGTTGAGACCACATTAGTTTTATATGGTTACAGGTGTCTCCATATTTTGTGATTAGACATGCTGCACGTGTATTTGTGAATTCTTCTTTGCTGCAGTTATCAGAACAGAATTCACACTGTTTTAAGCGTGTGGGATTGGGGAGCATTGTTCTTAGTGCTAACCTTCAATCTGAGTACTCGTCCCTTACGTACTCAGATTGCTTGGAGAACTAACAGATCATGATTTTGGTAAAAGACTGATCGGCTGTAATGAACCATGGTTGAGATAATATCAAATACAATAGCCTCGGTATCTTTAGCTTACCATAAGCGCAAAAGAATTGTAGCAATACGTCAATGGGAATAATATGAGTTGATTGCTTAATTATCACTTGAAGGGCCACTCACCAGGCTTCCAAAATATAAAAAAGAGTGCAATATTCTTTCCTGATATTTCTCGTCCTTCTCGGCGCACTACTGGGACGTAGAAGTAGTTACCGTGACGTCTACAGCGTACATGCTCTCGATTCGCTGATATACGTGAAATATCACACGTGATTTGTCTCCTGCATTGCTTTTGCTTTGCCATGCAGCCGCCCATCCGTTCTTCTTTGTTTCGCATCAATATTGTGTACAATCAACTGATCAAGCTTCATTTTTTTGTTTACAACTGCGCAAGAAGCGATAACAGCGTGCCGCCGAGAAGCGCGAAATCCTAGGCTCGAGCGCCTATTGCTGACATTGTTCACGTGCATTAAACAACTAAGGCGCGAGGAGGATGCATCGTGTGTATGAAGGTGAGGATAAAGTCACCCCCTCGTCTTTAAACGCGAGGTGGCGAGTAGCCCTTCAAAGCCTTGTTTCATAAGTACTTGTTCACTTTACACAATATCTTAGCTGCAGCTTTAAAAAAAGCAAAAAGTAAAGCTTGCATACTTAAAACTTGACTTGATGTTTGGTGGTCTCCTAATATTGACTGGTTCTGCAGCATGTACACTTAATCAAAATCTAACGCATTTATGTTTCCGGCAGTCCTGTAATGTGGCCATATTAAAGAAAAATTACTGTTATTTAAACACATTTCTGAATGTAATGGTACGTTTAATCATGTGTTTACCAACTAATAAATTAATAATTGTACCTTGTAAGTTCACACTGATGCACTGTGCCATGGCCATAGATGTGCGGCCTTGTCGCTGATGTAAAGACAAATTGAATATCGGGGATACTCATTTTTGCAGTTTTGACAGCTGTACAACTGCCCGTTACCTTCAGAAGATGGGTTGTTCATGCAGATGTTCTGGTATTGCATCTTTTCTCGTGCAAGTGTGCACCCGTAGCAATTTTTTTGTGGACACTCGCATTTCATTTTTTTATTTTACAGTTATATTCAGTGATGCTGTAATACTTAGGAAGCATGCTTTCCAAATGGTAACAACGTCCGTTGACACAGACACTCTTGAATGTGATATATGGCCTATGATTTCTTTCTGATATGCTGCATATGTGAGTTCACCGTATAAAACGACAATAACTATGGCGAGCATTCGTATAGCATTACCTCTTTCGGTCTGACCGGAAAGCTCGCTTCATAAATTGTGCACAATGGCATGTCACAAGAATAACGTGAAATATTTAAAATTTAAATAATTTTTTCTGGCAACTCGGTATAACGCATGATGAAGCAGTCATTTGGAACGAACTTTACAAACACTTCTGTAACAGTTATATCTGTGCGTGGCTCTCGTCTCCAGAAATGAGTGGCAGTGGCGCACAGTTCATTCCGTTTCTTGAGATGACGTCATCATTGTCGAAACTGAGTCTTTCTACTCTCGTCGCGCGACACGTTCCTTCGTTTGTCCACGTAACCAGATGACGCACAAATTGTTCCGTTGTTGGTCACAGCCAGCTGGATAAATGAACGAAATACACCCAAGTGGCACGTACGTTGTGTCTCCGTCACTTTCTGTCAGCACTACTCAGGTAAACCCAGGGGTGCTATTCTGGTTGTTGCCAAATTTCTACATGTCAGTTTGTTTCCTTTGGTTAGGTATGTTTGGCCCAGAGAGCTGTTGTGGGCTTTTCGATTGGCCTAAAATGCCGTCATTACAAAATTCGGCAGTGTACAGAATAGCACCACAAAGTGGCTACCCCGAGAAGGTTGTAGCCTCACTTGGGGCTACTACGACGAGGTTCTGGAATTTCACGGCAGATGGCGTCACATTCGCCTGCACTCTCAAGGTTTGCAGTCGCCTTCGGCTTCATACTCTGGCAGCAGGTTTTAAACTGCTGCCGTCCTAGCGTGACGTGATGTCCGCGATTCCCGGATTTTCTTTGGTCCGCACCAAGTTCTAGTCCGCGTTAGAGTCAGAACTTGGTGCACCAGTATGCGGGATCGTGGTAGTCTGCGCCTTGTGGTTGCTGCATCTGCTGCGTCCGCGGCAACGGCTGGAATCGGCGTGCTGGCCTTTGCTGTGACAGGCGCAACGTGCCGAAACTCTGTTGGCTGCAGCTGCGAAAATGAAAAAAAAAAATATGTGTAAATACACTAAGCCACTCTCACGCCATGAAAACTGCCGTGCAGCAAAGCTGGGATTATGATATGACGACGGCATTTGGTAAAAAAAAAAAATCATTACCATCGTAATTTTTTTTTCGCCTCCTCTTGGTAACGCGATCTGCGTGACGCCTACTACTACTAGTACTGCTACTACGACGACGCGGGGGCAGACAGTATATTTACGCAGAAATGCTGTAAGAACCGATGATGAAAGGATATTTGATCAGCTGTTAAATTGGCAGTGAAAATAATAATAATAATGGTGTTCTGGACTAGAATATGATCATCATGTGATCCTTAACCGTTTCTACAAAATCAGCCCAATATTGATCCGCACAATGTTTGCTCATGTGGCACAACTGCCACTTAAAAGTGAGACTTTAAATTCTAGGTCGTACTTTTGATGCAAAGCTGAAGACAGACAATACGCGTGAACATAAGTGCAGCACAAGTGTTGCATTTTCCATGCATTCCTACAATAGAGAGCGTTCTCACATGACGCATCAGAATGTGTTGAATGGTTCTCAAATCTTCGTTGAAGTGACCCTTCACTTCGTTTTCGCCCCGCCGCGGTGGCTTAGTGGCTAAGATACCCGGCTGCTGACCCGCAGGTCGCGGGATAGGATCCCGGCCGTGGCGGCTGCGTTTCCGTTGGAGGCGAAAATGCTGTAGGCCCGTGTTCTCAGATTTGTGTACACGTTAAGAAAACCGCAGCTGGTCGCAATTTCCAGAGCCCTCCACTACGGCGTCTCTCATAATCATATGGTGCGTTTGGGACGTTAAACACCTCACACCAGTGAATTACTACATTTATTTATTTATTTATTTCTTCTATCAGTGCGCAATGCTCAATTCTAATTGTTTTCTATCTTGATGCCAGGTCCCGGAGACCTTCATTCACGGGCTTAGCGACACATTTTTAACGCACTACTTTAGTTGCTGCTCGCATTAACGACGGGCATGAAATGATATCCAGGCAACAACGTAATCTGGCAACACGAAATGCGGCAAAGTGACTTCCATAAAACATAAGATTGTCATATCAGACACGGCTTAACGCTTATATGCCCACAAAAAACGCATCTGCCCGGCACAGCTTAGCGCGCCGCATTTATGTACGCTCGCTGGCTCCAGGTTTTTTTTCGCGTATGACCTCGCTGAAACCTGTGAGTTGTAAAAGATTGATTGATTGACATGTGGGGTTTCACGTCCCAAAACCACCATATGATTATGAGAGACGCCGTAGTGGAGGGCTCCGGAAATTTCGACTACCTGGGTTTCTTTAACTTGCACCCAATGGAAGCACACGGGCCCACGACATTTCCGCCTCCATGGGAAATGCAGCCGCCTCAGCCGGGATTCGAACCCGCGACCTGCGGGTCAGCAGCCGAGTACCTTAGCCACTAGACCACCGCGGCGGGGTGTGAGTTGCAAAAAGCTTCGCTTATGAAGATTATAGGGTAGCGTTCTTACTTTGATGCGTCCGAGGGCATGGTCCGCACGAGCAGCGTCGAATGTGGGCTCTCCACTTGGTACGGAGGCGGTGGCTCCATGTGCGGCATCGGGCCATTGTAGTGAAGCCCGCCTGCTGTGGTAAGCAATAAAGAAATAAATAGAAATTGGGGGTAAACGTTCGGCAGATATCTACCGGGTCGGGAACAACCGAGTTTAAAGGCGAGGAAAGCTCTACTCAAACTGTGATGTGAAAATTCTCCACGTTTTGAAACCAGCGCTGGCTGTTTCTTCAGAGATGAGTAGGACCAAGGTGAGCATGCATGCAGGGTCCCATTCTCACCTCTGAAGAAGCTGGTCAGACTCCGAAATGCCAGAAGATTGAAAATAGATTTTAGTTGGAGCTATTGCTCACTTTAAACTAAACTAAAAGAAGATTTTGTATTCAGATAGGTTGAGACCAGGGGAGAGGGGGGGGGGGGGGCGTCACATTCCCTCTATATTTCGGCCTGTCCCCCATTCGACTTCCTAGCCCTCTGCTATGTGCAAACATTGTCAAAACGTAACGCACGTTCTACATGATTCGGCGCGTGATGGTGACATCATGTGACAGTATGTTACTTCTTGATGTCATAGTGATGTGATTATGAATAACAAATGACGTCGTTAAATGTGATGTGTGATCACGTGATCACATTTTGAACCGTTAGTGCTGAAGCCACCTGCGCCGACTGTCGATTATCGTGTTTCGTGGGGCATGTAAGGCTTAAATACTTTGCACTTACCGGGACATGGTGTGAGGAGTCCGCTGAAGCTCGAGATATCGCGAGGAGGTGGTGGAGGCGGCTCCATTTCGTTGAACGGCTCCGAGATGGCGCCACGATCGGACGGTGCGTGCTGATGGCAGTTGCCCGGGGCAACGGGCCCACCACATCCAGCGACGCCGCCCGAAGGCACGGTGCCAGGGGTTGTTGCGCCACTGTCGTGACCCGAAAATGAGTAGGTGTTCGCACTGGAGCTGCCGCAGTGCATCCTGTAGATGGGGCCTGAAACAGAAACACCAAAGAGTAGACAATGGAGCTTTGTTTTTAAATTTGTGTACTTAGAAAACAGCTGCCTATGGAGATATAATGTAGAGTGCGAAGATGATTTGGTACGTTTTAGAGTGCTGCAAACGTTACGTACACTACACTAGTTGTTTATTGGGAGTAAGGTGCGCTGTAAACGTATCAGTTTGACAAATCACTTATTATCTAGAACCGCAGGTCGCGGGATCAAATCCCGGCTGCGGCGGCTGCATTTCCGATGGAGGCGGAAATGTTGTGGGCCCGTGTGCTCAGATTTAGGTGCACTTTGAAAAACCGCAGGTGGTCGAAATTACCGGAGTCTTCCACTACGGCGTCTCTCATAATCATATCGTGGTTTTGGGACGTTAAGCATTTCAAATCAATCAAATTATTATCTAGAAGCTATAACACTATCATGTCGATAAGCACTGAAAGTAAAGACCTGATTCTCTTTTTTTCCTTGAATTTCGGAACGTTGATCACGCGTTACAGCAGTAAAGGGTCACGGATTTATTTCATTGTCAACTTGTCCTGCTGCAAATGATTTCAACTCGTCACGTTATACGTCTACATGGCTCCTTTAGAGCAGAATGCTGTTTATTTTTACTGCAAAAAAAAACTACATTTTAATAGAAGCTATTACTATCCATTAGAACACAGCGAGCTAATGCGGGATCTTGAGCGCGGCGTAGCCACGCGTCGTTTTATTTTTGTGCCTTGTACTAACACATTCGAAATACTAATACATAATTCACTAATACATGAGAAATAATTTGGTTAGTGTCTACATGAAGGGCTTCTCATGTTCAGGAATCTTCTGAAAGTAAAATAACTGTTGCGCGGCGTAATATTTCCGGCGAACGTCACAGGTGAGTTGTGTACGTTCAAGTTATGGCAAACGGTTTCCTTGGACAAAAAGACCCAAGAAAAGCGACAATTTTCGTTGAGCCAATTAACTGGACTAATTCGGCGTTTTCAAGCGAAAAATGGACGTGGCGTAAACATAGTCGTAAAGGCGTGTAAATTAACCAGAATCGTAGAATGAAATGAACAATTTTGCCTCAATGACAAAGCCACTAGCTAAAAAAAAAACAAAAAAACGAACGCCCTGCATTTCGTTTTGTTCTTTGTAAATGACGGCATTTCTTCTGTATACTACAGAGTTGTATTTTTACATGACGGTTCATCAAATAATATGCGTAAATCATAAGAAAAGCACCGGGATCTCAGAGTGTATGTATGCCTACTCGTTCAATATAGTCAGACATGATATGAATTCACTATAGCAATATTGATTATGCCAGACCCTCCATAATCACAGCGTCACTGGCTTCTATCTCAAATCAAGCGCTCTCGACGATCTCGTTATGACCATCAGCGTTAGTTGTGAGATCAATCGTAGCTCATTACTTTCGCCCCTGAAGGCATTCGCAGCGGAGCACGGCAAGGGTACTTCACGGCAAGGTCAGCAAAGGTGCGGTGAAGACATAAAAAAAGAGGAGTGTGAGGGCTGAATAGTGATGTAATGCTAGCTAGAAGCGTGTGGTCGCTAGGATAGAAGAGCACGGTTCTCAAAGGAAAAAAAAAACAAAGATGATCTTGATTGATCGTCATTCATTCAATTTTTACGCTAAAATCAGGTTTTATGTTTTTGTATATAAATAAGGAGCACACGGACCCTCTCGGCTTAAGAACCTTAATGACACTTTGATGTTGATCTGAGCTCTTAAACTGCCCTTGAAACTTCGGCTAGAGTTGTTCGTTCGGAATGAACCACTCTCCATTCTCGTTTGAGGCTATAATTATAAACAAACAAAGAAGTTTGTGACTATCTATGTATAAGTGCAGCGCCAACGCTAGCCTGTATGTAATCAGCATTGGCGTAGCCGGGGAATGGGCGGGGCTCACCCCTAGCTCCCCCCCCCCCTCGTAAGCAAGGACCGCATGGCTGACGAGAATGCATGCCTTTTTTTATTTATTTATTTGTACCCTCAAGGCCTACAGGCATTTCAGAGGGGAGTGGGTTACAAGGTTATACAAAAAACTAAAGAGCAGCAACAAAAGTAGTAAGCAGATAAGTACAAACACATATCGGCCCTAATCATACAATGTTAGCTAGTGCTGCACAAAACTGATGGTTGTCTTCGATTGCGGCGGTCAGTCCGGGAAGGCGGTTCCAATCTTGTGACGTCCGAGGAATAAATGACTGAAAGAAGGCATTGGTGTTGCATGGTATTGTTCCTACTTTGTGTCGGTGATCCATACGAGAAGAAATATATGAAGGAGGAGTAATTAGATCACTGAATAGGGGCGAATTATGGTAGTAAATTTTGTGAAAGAGACAGAGGCGAGAGTGTTTGCGGCGCGAAGTTAGAGTGGGTAATTGAAGCAAGTTTTTCATGGACGTGACACTTGCCGCACGGGTGAAATTACCGAGAATGAAGCGTGCTGCGTTGTTCTGCACGAGCTCAAGTGATGTCACCAGATAGTCATGGCTCGGGTCCCAAATGGATGATGCATATTCGAGTTTAGAACGAACCAATGATTTATACAAAAGTGTTTTTAAAGAGGTAGGTGCAGAAAAGAAGTTGCGGCGAAGGTAGCCAAGCAGGCGATTAGCATTATTAATAACGGTATTAATATGAAGCGACCAGGTAAGATCAGTTGTTATGTGAATTCCCAGGTATCGGTACGACGTCACAGGTTCAAGAAGTGTGTTGTTAAGGTAATAGGAACCCGTCGAAAGGGCTGTTCTTGAAATGCGTAAGACTTTGCATTGTGTTATGAATGTTGTGCATTTGCGGTTGATGGCAGTAAGTCTCTTCTTGAGTACCTGAAAGGCTGTTTTTAAGTGAGTGGGGCTCTAATATATTCGGCAGAGAGTATAAGCACCGGAAAATTCAAGCTTCTGGAGCCGCGACGGTGAAAATGGACAAAAACGAGGAAATAAGGATTATAAATGGTGATAAACCAGAATGCGCGATAAGTGTTTCTACCTATCTTTCTTCGTCTCTGTGAAGCAGGCTAGAGCTAATATCGTAACGTATCAATATTTTGCTCCCTTTTTTATTTTTTGCTGTTACGTAAGTGACTGTCGCGAACGTAAAACTTGCACGAAGGACTCGTGACACATAAATGGCGGTCTGTCATTTCGGGAGATCATTAACACTAGCTGCGCAGCTAGCTAATTGCACACGGTTTAAGAAAGCAATAATTATGAGCTACTTGTCGCACATAATTATCGTTTATTTTTAATTCTATGTAGGTCGAGCCCGTCGTTCAAGTTGTTTCCGATGAAAAAAAAAAAAAACAGAAAAGGGAATTGAAAATCAGCGACTTCAAATTCTGCTACAGGATACCTAGTTCGCGATCTCTGGACTACATGTGAAACCACCACAAGTCCATCACGTAGCGAAAGAAAAAGAGAGGGAGAGAGAGAAAGAAAGAAATGTTTTTCTCCGAAGACAAAGCAATGAGTGTGATAGCAACCAAACGAAATATCATACGAATAAATTATTGCGACTTACTCATTTAGGATACGCGACCACTACAGCGACTGAAGTCTACTTCGTGCTATCTATGACTTGAATGCAGACTTTGAGACGAAAAGACAACACGTACAAAAGTGTGATATATTTGCTGATTCACTATAAGAATTAGCGCGTCCTTTGGAGACCATGTCCTGTAAATTGAAGATCGTATTCCCTTTCGGAGACGGGCAGTCCCTCTTTATAATCCTATGTCCATTCCGCACTCTCCCTTCACTCGATGAGGGACGAATGAGGCGTTTCCTGTATATTTGGGCACCGGTAGACGGCAACACTTCAGTGGTTAATTCGCGCATAAACAGATGACGTGCGGGTTGATGTGATTTGTTTCGAGTTTATGCGGAACATCACGATGGCGCCGATGGCATCGGTAGGAACTCGCCAGGAGGGTCCATATATTCGCTATCGCAATAAAAAGAAACAAAGCGATGCTCGTGACGTAGTTGTGATGTCATCTCTTGACTTTGGCATGGAGGACAAAGTGAGGAAGGATCTTGCGAACGCTAATCCAGGCAGAAGGACGAGCACTCAAGTTGGCAGCGAAGCTCACCTTATTTCCGCAAAGCTACACCACACTTCACGACGATAGTTATAGCGCGAGAACAAAACGACGACACAGAGACAAGAAGGACACGAACTCTGTGTCGTCGTTTTGTTCTCGCGCTATAACTATCGTCATGCCATACAAACTAGCCCAAGCTGCCACACTTCTAACCCACACTTCAGTTTACCCTGGTCTTTCTAACAATAATCTAAACTATAAACATTATGGGGTAAAACGCGGTGCTTGCGCATTGACAACCATACCGATTCCCTACCTTCCTGGGAATTCACCACCAGCATATCTAACAAGACAACAAAGTTACGGCGCAGCATTATACCAGCTACAGTTCACGAACGCTCTATAATCAAAGCGCCATGCGCTAATACCCGCAAATATGTACACATGCTGCTATCCTAAAAGACGGTGGGAGGACATCATTCTGAGTACTACGCATAATTTTGTCAGTGATCACCAGCGTTATCTATATACGGAAGCCAATCCTCTTGTGATGGAACTTCAAGCCATCCGTGACGCAGTCCAGGATTCCAACTCTAAACAGACTACAATTAAGCAAATTGACATATTCCCTGATTCCTTGAAAAGCTATCCAGGAGCTCAAGAAAGTTCACAAGACGATGCAAATCTGTGAGGCAATTCATAAAATGAACCACAAAACAGCTACTTGCGTCCAGGTACATTGGATTCAAGGCCATGTTGCGAACCAGCACAATATTGCTACTGACCAGCAGGCACACTGCCCTCCAAATATAGACATTCCAGCTATTCTCCTTCCGCAACTCCTAAACACACGCCCTGGCCGTAAAAATGTTCTCCGGTAAGATACACGTGCTCTGATCCCACTGTGCGTCGGCTGTCTCCCCCATCACCTTACTAGAGCGGAAGAAGACGTGCGTAGGAGGCTTCGGGCCGGGTTGACCCTTACACCGGCTGTTCTGTCATCATGAAACTGGTCGCTATTACCCGTTGATTGTACGTGTCCGTATTGTACCACTTCAGTGACGCAAGCAGATGCATTCCACCTTATATGTACATGCCAAGGGTTACAGTCGGAACACTCCCACCATCTCCTGCAAGCCAGCCTTCGCTACAGCTACACCACAAGTTACAACCGCTGGATAGATGATAACAAACTCCACAATACACTACTTCATTTCATACACAACACCAGCCTAACGGCGCACATCTAATACACATACACGCACAAAATATTATACCTCATAGAGAAGTCTATGTAGCAAAAAAAGAAAAAAGATAACGTCCACTAGACGTTTCCAAACTCCCAGAGTTTATTTGAGATTTGTGGTAAAACTTGTTCAGTGTATTTCAATACGATGTATTAAACAAATAAGGCGACTGTATAACAATACAAGATACGTAAAGCTAGTCGGTGACGCAACACATTATGTGTTAGCCCGTCAACGTACCTCCGTTGATGGTCTGGTGCCTATTTTTGTGTGCAATCCGGCGGCGACATAGCAGACAAGCGCCCAGGGCTAGTAAGGCCACCACCAGCAGCGTGCCCAGGGCCACTCCAATAAGAAGTGTCTGGCTGCGAACGAAACAAACATCGTACTCGATTTTAGAAACTTAAGAGCACTGATATCAAGGCGGAGGAGAAGGAAGAGAAGTAATGCCAAGGGTGAGCCAATTGGTCTAGAAACAAACAAATGTGATTATCAGTAGTTCGTTGCTATGTAAAAAAATGGTAAAATTAGTCAAGTATCGCAAGTGCGCAAATATGTTAATTTGTTTACTTACTCATGTTACCTTGCCCCGCCGTAGTGGTCTATAGTGGCTAAGGTACTCGGCTGCTGACCCGCAGGTCGCGGGTTCAAATCCCGGCTGCGGCGGCTGCATTTCCGATGGAGGCGGAAATGTTGTAGGCCCGTGTTCTCAAATTTAGGTGCACGTTAAAGAACCCCAGGTGGTCGAAATTTCCGGAGCTCTCCACTACGGCGTCTCTCATAATCATATAGTAGTTTTGGGACGTTAAACCCCACATATCAATCAATTACTCATCTTACCTTGCAGGTCATAGGAGAGCATTGAGTAAAGAGTTACAGAAGAATCTCAATAGATAAAGCGTATAAGAAGACTTCATCAGTTCTGGCGACAATGCGAACCAATGGCCAACGGATGGTTTGAGAGTATGCATGTGCAGAATAAAAAGCAATGCCTCGGGCATAATAGCGCTGTAGCAAAACAAAAGGCAAGAGCGCTCCCGTTTGCACGCTATTACGCCAAAAAATATGCGTGCAGCCCCAACTACCGCGAACTGGGATACCCTACGAAAACAATTGATCTTATAAAGGGTATGCATTGACGTCATCTAGACCACTATAGTGTCGTATTGCCTGCGTATGATGAGCACGTTATCTCGATCAGCTTGTCTTCGATATATACGCCCATTCACTATGGTTCGTAGTAGTCTTGTAAGACTGCACGCTGTGGAAAGAGCAGTAATACAGAATCGAAGGAAAGGGGGGAGGGGGCACCGTTCCTTAAGCGTTGGAGGAGAGCCACTTTAAGGGGCGTAGGAGAGTGGGGGCGGGGGGAAATCATTTGTTACTGTCTCATGACAGCGCAAAAAAAACAAACACGAAAAGCAATAACAAGTACATGACACAAGCGCTGTGTAACATCTAAACGTTTATTAAAAAAAAACGTGACATACACATGTAGCCCAATAGGCTACATTACTTTTGTGAAATAAGCAATTAATCGGCGAAGAAACCAGACCGAACGCTGTTCATGGTTTCAACTTCTTTTCTCTTGGAGTTGTCGCCTGCACGGCATTAAGTTCCCTAAATATACACTAGAAGAAACTCTGGCACTAGTGTCTATGAGAGCTGCAACGCACCGCACTTTAGCGAGCATGGTAATGATAGGTAGTACACGGATTTGTCTAATCCTCGTACTTCCGGCTCCGTCTGCGATCGTGTGGCTTGCAGTTGTTTTCGCACGAAACAAAAATCCGCAAACGCTCAGTGGTTGCACTTCACCACCTTATTCTTTTAAAGCCTATCATTCCAAATCGGGTTGCGAAGTTCAAAAGGGTTCATTCTTTCCTTCAAAACCAAACCGAAACACAGCAATAAAAGAAGCCACAAGTACTATTCGCCGCCCACAAGTACAAAGACTAGGCGAATCCGTGTACTACTCATCCTTCCCATGATCGCTGAGCTATCGTAACGCCGGAGTTCCCTCAAGTTAATTTTAGGAAACTCTATGCCGCACAGGTTTATTGGTACTTTCACTTTTTCAACTTCATTTGTTACAGTTATTTTCCTTTCGCGTTTGCCACTACACCAGAGTATCGTATGTCCAATCAGGTGAGACATATATCGATTATTAAAAAAATTCTACGTGCGCTTCTTCTATCGAAGCAACGGGGGCAAGCCAACACCACCTAGACTATTCATTAGTCTAGGTGGTGTTGGCTTGTCGCATAGAATTTCTCATTAGAAGATGCAGAAAGATTCATCCCCGATGCCCGATCTCTCTATTACGCACCTATGTGCGGGCCGCCGAGTCTTTGAAACCGCTGCTTAGACTCTCTCGAAGAAGCAGAATAACCTACACCTTTCCAGTTGTAAGTAACGTTTGACTTGGCAGCATAGGTCGGTGAAGAATGCGGAGCTCACCCAATACTGACTCACGAAATGTGTTTTGAGCTTAGAGCTCACTAGGATTCAGACTGGTCAAACTTTCCCTGAGCCGATTGTTCAGCGAAGTCGGAGCGCGGGGCTAAACACAGACGCAAAGTGCTCATGCTGTGTGCCTCCTCTTTGCTTTGTGTCTGTGTTTACACTCGCGCTCCCAGTTCACTGAACAATCATGAATTACCAACTAGCCAACCTTTGCGTCCTATTCCCTGAGCTGGACTCACCCGGGCGCACACTCACGAAAATTTTCTTTTACCAGACTCACTCGGACTCAAACTCGCCGAAATATTTCTCACCCGGACTCACTCAGACTCAAGGCTCGATCTGAGTCCGAGGGAGCCCGAGCAAGTCGACCCACGAGTGAGTTCACCGACCAGTGCTTGGCGGTGACTTTAGTACTCGCTTTGGCATTTGCTCTTGCATGACGCCTAAAAGGGAAGCACTGTGGCGCACGTACTCGTGAGTCGGTGCCGGTGGCTCGTCCTCCTTCTTGCGACAGCAGTACGGCTCCGTGGATGTTCCGCAGCAGTAGACGGTCTCGCCGCTGCTCTGCGCCGGGCACGGGAACCCGTTGTTCCACTTGCCGAACTTGTCCGTGTAGCCGTAGCAGTACTCGGCGCTTAGCACTGCGCACGCAAGGACGACACCCATCATTCGACAACAAAGAACCACCGCCATAATTCACAAGCCCGAACATGCTAGTTCACTGCGGTCAGCAGGACCTCTACAAGTGCAAGGCACAGGAATTAACAATAAAATAGATGGACACTGTAAATTTCACAGTTGGTTCGGTGAGCGTTCGTGTCTACTGAGAGGGGATCGGTTAAAATGAAACGCGATACGTGCGTCTCCCTTCGACACCGACGTGACTGGCATCCATTGACGCACCCCATCGGTTTGTCTGTCCGCTCGTCTGTGTCTGTCCGTCTGACCGTCAACTATGCGAACCTAGAACTATACAAAAATCACTAACACCATCTAGTGATATTTCCAAGGACATATACACACAACGCCATCTGTTGACCAATTCATAAACTAGAGGTGGCTGCAGAGGAGGCAATAAATACTATAGAGGAGGGAATGACCCACAGCCTGAGGAGCTTCGCCCCTAAAAGGCATCATAAGAATTTTAATGTTCACCTTTCGCACCACGAAAAAACACTCTCGCCACTTTACCTTCGGACGAAAGCTTACTCGCCATACGTTTTAATCTCTTCGGATAAGTATCGGGCCATTATCACTCTTATATGTAATCCTGGACGTGCAACTCGCTGTGGTCGCCGGCGTGCTTTGGATAAACAGCGCCACGTCACGATGCGAGCATCGTGACCAAAAATGCGAGCCGTGCTCATAGGCTTGAGCAGTGATTTCCCTGAAGGGGGAGGGAGGGGAGTTCATCGTGGCACCTCCTTCGTTATTATGTCTGTGTGAGGGGCTTACCTTACGCCTCCTTGCCCCCGAGTCACAGCACCACCTCCCAATTATATCAATGCATGCTGCTGACTTTGTGCCTCCCCCATTTTAGGTGACTAGAGAGAGGGGCTGCTGACCCCTGCCCCGACCCCCCATACGTACTATGCCTATAGTTGTGCTAACAAACCCCACTCGCGCCTACCACGTGAAAAAACAGAGACGCCAAATTGTAGCCACCTGACGCCTGATGATACGTCAGGTACGTCAGGTACGTGTGATGGTACGTGTGGTACGTCAGGCGTGTAGCCACACGTCTGACGTACCACACGATTTAAGGAACTCAATCATATGGCTCCCCGTGCAAATGTATGCTGTTGTATTTCTGAATGCTCTGCAACGTTGCAACTACATCAACGGAGACGTGTCTCACGAGTAACCCTCATATTTTGCTTCCGAGCATTTCCGGTTTTCCGAATATTTGGAAATAAGAAATGTTTTAAACAATAAAGCTGGTGGCACAAAATCTGTTTCCGCTTCAAGTTATTAGATACGTTTGATATTGGATCATTCGTTTGCTAAAGTTAAGGGGCGCTTTGCTGTCGCGATAACTAATGGAAGTGAATTGAATGAGTTCGTTGAAAAAGCAGCCATCTTTTGCGCAAGGAGTTTCAATTGTAGCGACACCTGGCGGAGAAGATCTCAGCCACACGCTGGTTTCTACGTGTCTTCAGAGATCAGCTTCGGCAGTGCGACGAAACACAAAGTTAACCAAAGGAGCAATTCGATCGCCGAGGTGCGTGTGACACTGTCAGACACCTAAGTCAGAAATGTGGGTCTCCTCTGAGCTTTTATTACTGTTAGGCAATGATGACATAACAGTAACGACAGCTAATAGCTCGCCTGGTACGCCGAATAATTACCAACAGCGAACCGCTACCCATACGCATGCATACGACAGCAAAATTTTCTTAAATCTGCTTTGTACCAGAAAAAATGACTGACAGAAGGTTGCCCTAATTTGCTTTAGATAGCACGTGGAATAGCGTACCCACTAATTTAAAATCTAAGACTGATATTTTTTTTCTTTAGAGAGAAAGTTTGTTAAGCTCTCTACTAAAGTAAACCTTGTGAAATACGACGCCTGCGTTAATGAATGTTTTAAATTACGACTGTATCATTTTGTTTTTACGTTAAGCTATTACTGCTAGTATATATTAAGTGATGGGTATATTAATGAACCCGTACTATAGTCTCTACGTCTAAGGGCTGAATCCAGAGAAGTATCTCAAAGCCTTTACAATACTATCAACAGTCTGTTATTGATTGAAATTACAACTGTAAAAAAATGGTAGAGAGGCTGTTAATAAGTTTCTAAACTCGTTATACAGATGGCTTCAATATATAATGATAAGAGAACGGCTATTATGTCTACACGTTAAAGAAATCCCTTTTCCAGGCCTTATGACTGTGCGATCGTTTTCGTAGTGTACTGCAATACGTGAATCCAGCTTTGATGTGTTCTAACTGTACAAGATACTAAACATACGTCATTGCTGCTATACACCTGAGGCTTCGTGAAACATGCCTCACTAAAAATTGGGGCAGCAACGCCGTAGTGGTGCGAAGACTGAGGAAACAGCGGAGCTGGTCACCTTGCCCTCTTCCACTCCTCGCTTTACTATACTATAATATACATTGCTATGCTTGCTCTCTCATTTTCTTGTCTCTTTCTATGTTTATTCTCTATCCGTCTCCATATTTCCATTTTAAAGATGATAGTCTTTCTTGGGGACCTTCGACGGAAAAAATTTGGGTCTGTCTGTCTGTCTGTCTGTCTGTCTGTCTGTCTGTCTGTCTGTCTGTACATTTCTCTGTACGCCCTTAACAATACCCCAAACCGGCACCAAACGGTACCCTAAACGGCTGACCACATCCGCAACGCCCTCCAATATTGCTCAAGGTTCAGCGTTCATACTTGTGCGATTGTCAATAAAAAAGCAATTATTACTCATATCTGAGGCACAGAACAATACGTCAATATTCTGTATGTGGGCCTTTTTACTAGAAAAGGCATACATAAGTAATTTTAAGGACCGTAGCATTTATCACGCTGCGCTGACAATGCAATGCTTGCACGAAAAGGCAAGTATTTCCAACGCTTTGCTAAGACGACAAGGTCGACCTACCCGTCGCCTTGCGTTCTACACCTTATCGCCTCCGAGACGTGCGCACACGCCGCACGCTCCGTTTTCCAAGATAACTCCCAGATAGCGCTCATGTCTCACGTGTGACGTGACTTGATAGGCTCGTTCGCCTTCGCTGCACGTTCGAGGCACACTAACGCAGCGTCTCCAGAATACCATTCACCAATTTTATTGCGCATAACATCAAATAAACAATTTTTTTCACTCTCTCCAGACGCGAGACTATCGTCTTTCGATGACGTTTGTAGTGTAACATACAGATACGGGGCCACTGTTTTTCTTGCTATCTCTTTTCTTTCACTCTACCTCTCTGTACTCATCGTCTCACCTTCTATCCTTTTGTTTCTTGCATTTCTTTCTGTTTGAACGCATTCTCACGCCCATCAGAGTTATCGCATCTCACGCCAGACTAATTCGCTCACGCGTTCAGGGGGCGGAGCTGAAGATGAAGAAAACAAGGAATAGACCGTGCGGCTGTTCATGATGACGACAGTTTTCTGGTCGTCTCACAGCATAACGAAAAGTGTCGGCTACCTTGCAACGCCAGCTTGCTGGAACACTGCACACAATTATCGGAAACGATCGCACAGTGCACGAGGCTCTCCATACCACCTAGGCAGCGAATAAAGATGCATCAGCCGCATTCCCGCGGCCCTCCCGCGTCCTCCGTTACACTCTCGGCCAATCCGGTCGCACCTTGATGTCTGTTCCAAGCTCGTAATGCCAACTTTATTTGTTTCTTTCCTCGTTTCAGACGCGAGTGGGCCTCTCTCTTATCCGCCAACCTGAGGGCGCGCGCCAGCTGCGTGTTGTCGGTTTTGCGCCCGTTGTCTTTCGTTTCTTCTCTCCCAGTGTGCGGTGGCCGGCGGAAGGATCCTTAACGTCGTTATTATCCTGTCCTGAGGCTTCCCGTGGCTCTTGTCAGTGCGTTCGGGCTCGCCGCTTCTTTTCACCGGCGCCTCTGTCTCCCTTCCTTTTGTTTCTTTTACTTCCCGCGGCCATACTTTCGTCCTCCCTGTCTCTCCCGCGCGACCCATAGCTGCTTTCTTCATTCGCAACGAAGCCTCTTCTGGTGCTGTCGCCACTGCCGGGGCGCTGCTGGCAGTACGGCAGGGCGTTTTCGCGAGCCCTCTTTTCGTCGCGTTTACTACTACTTCTTCTCTTATAGGCTCCCGTCGGGGCTCTAGAAACCCCCCCTACTTTATTTCCATCTTTCTCGCCTTCTCTCTCTCTCTCTACGCTGTCTGCTGGAGTTACGCTGAAGCATATCAGGCTACGCCACCGCAAAGGCTTGGCAGCTGTTGGCGCTTTCCCTCGCAAGGTAATTTCATTCCCACTCCGTCATTACTGCCCTCTCTCCCTCTTATATCTCTGCGTTCTGTCTCCCGGAAGAAATGAAAGGAGTAAAGGCTTGCGTGGAGTGTTCGTGTGTTTGCCTCGACGGAGGGCATGCGGCTGTTGGTGGGTGGGCGTGTGGCGACATCTGGAGGTGATGAGTCCTTATGGCACTTCTCTTACGGCGTGCTTGGATTCGACGTCGCCACTCCCTGGCGCCCTCGAATGGGTTGCCCGGTCGCGTCCTCTCTCTAAATGAACAGATGAAAAAAAAGATGAAAACAACACAGTATACCGCCGGTGATTCGGTTCATGCGCAATGCGACTGGAGCGTAGATGCAGCTTTAGTTTCGCGGTAACGTCGCGAAGGGTGCTGAAGAAAGACGAAGGGACGAGGAGAAGTTACGAAACGGCACACTGTTTGTTCTGAGAAACTTTCTTTCGCCAGTATTGCACCAACTGCGGGGGTCACTTTGCGGTGCGCTTCTCTGGGAGACTCTGCGAATGAAAGGCCGGTGCTTGCCGTATTGGCGATGAAGAGGATATCCATTCAGCGCATCCGCTATTGATATACTGTATATATGTGGGGAAGAAACGTTGCCGCAGAGCCGGAATGTGATGGCTCCCTCTCAGAGGACGATTTTTCGGGGCAACTTTCGAAGTGTGCCATAAAT